ACAACGAAATTTGGTAAAATTATAAAATGGCACATGGTTATAATACCTATAAGTTTAATATAAAATTGATGTATAATACAATTCAAATGGGTCTCTGTTATTCTTTTAATTGTAAAAATATTCAACTCATTCAGAGGGCAAGGTAATTGTTATGAAACAAGTTGAACAAACACATCACAATTTATATGCAGTGTTTATCTGGTGTTTTGAGAGCATATTTTCTTGCATTTCAATTGCTATTTCTGATCTGTATGCAACAGGTGTACATATATTCTAGTGGCAGCAGATTGGCCCAAAGGCTAATATTTGGAAAAACAAACTTTGGAGACCTAAGAAAGTTTCTATCTGGGTTTTTTGACACCACAGTGGGGTAATGCTTATATTGATGCTTTCCTTTGATGATAATCTAAAGTTGCATATATTCATGTAAAGCTCTTTTGTAGGAACAAAAAGGAGACGCAAAGTTATGTTGAAATTTCTCAGTCACTTGGTGTGGATAAGCCATCAGATATTTTATTTGTCACCGATGTATATCAAGAAGCTACAGCTGCAAAGGCAGCAGGTATGAGCATTTTTTCCAAATCTTAACCCATCATTTATTAAGTTAAATATTATCCACTACTTATAAAACTTGTTACATTTAGCCTAAAGTTTCACATGGTGGTAGTAACTAATTTTTTTACTTTGCAGTGAAGACAATATGAATTAGCCCTTTATTTTAAACTTAAAAGTTTAAATTATTTTAACTTAGGGCAAACGTGAAATAAAAAATCGACATCAAGTTTGTAAATACAATATAGTCTGTGAACTTCATCCACTTATACACCAATTGAGCCTATGTTCAAGTTCTCTTAGCTCTTACTAGGCACTATCTCTAGTCATTGCAGAACTTATTTTTTTTCAATTTGCCTTCACTCGGCACTAATAAGCTCGGTGAGTGGCCCAACAATGAAACTTGGATAACCATATTAAATTTTGAGCCTAATTCTATCTTACAAACGCTGTCTGGAAAGGGAGAAGTTCGCAAACTTTATCAGCTCTTATTCGATTGTATCTCTAGTCAATGTGAGTGGGGTTTTTCACAATAGTTTGCATGCCTTTTGGGGCTAACATGCCATTGGTGTAAGTGAAAACCTTCCAATCAAACTAAAGAAGAAACTGCTTATTTTTTCTGCACATCGTTTTGTCAATAATTGTCCATGTTTCAGGTTTGGAGGCAATAATTTCTATTCGACCCGGAAATGGACCTCTCCCTGAAAATCACGAGTTCAAGACTGTCAAATCCTTCTCGGAGATCTAAAGAGTAGCTGCAATCATCTTTGATGATATTAAACGTTATGATAATTAATGGTATTAAACGAGTAGCTCCTATCTTTGATGATATTAAACGTTATGATAATTAATGGTATTGCAATGTTTACTTCTTAATATGAAACAATGTATTTCGAATTTCAACTGAGTTTCAGATTTAACTTTCCTATTTTAAAAAACAATTTGTATATATGTATGGTAGTATGTTGCATGCATTTTCATTAGCTTTATCATACAAGGCACATTCTTGTTCACATGAGGCATTGTTAGTAGCAAAAGAAAGTATGTACTTGTGAATCTTGTGAATCATAGTGTTGTTATTTTCTTAAAATCAATATTTCAAATTTCTCTTATGATAACATTTTTCTACCGGTTTCAGTTATTTATATTTTCAAAATAATTTCATTTAATTATTTTACATAAAAAAATATTTTTCCGCACTCAACTATTAATAACTTCAGTTCTAAAACAAATTAGAATCAAAATAATGTATTTTGATAATGACTTAATTTTTAAAGTTACTTTTAAATTAGTTTGAATTAGTCATATTTTTTGCCAAGTCAAAAACATCTCTATGCATAAAATTTAAAAATCACCGTCTTATCACTCCACATATGATTGAGAAAAAAAAGGTTATTTATACATGACTTTTTCCCTTCTGCCGTTTATCTTGAACTTTGAAGGAGTTGTATTTATATGGGGTGCACTAAATCATAAAGACTAGAAGAGGTATAGTCAACAATAAACTCAATTCTTTAAATGAAAAAAAATCAATCATTCAAATTTCAAACACACAAAACAAAGTCATTGTCAAATTAAAATGTGTAGTACCAAACTTTTCATCCATTGACTAGTGTAGCATGTTGTATCTTAAAACAAGACAACCCTCCAAAATATTGTTATCATAGCCCCATTTTCTTTAAGACTTGTTTGATCCTCCATTACTAACATTTTCACTTTTTCTACTTGCATCAATAAATTATTGAAAAGATAAATCTATATCTTTTTCCATGACTATCTATTTCCACATATAACATGGTGTAACAAACAACATGCCTAATTTCAAGTAACAATTTAACTTGATGCATATGTATTCATTATAAAGTGCTTATTATATTTGCTTTAATGAAGAAAAGTTCCTTCTAAGCATGTGGTCACAGCAACATGGTCTTTTCACCATCTACCTAATTAGCTCCTATCTTTGTCAATAAAAGCTGTGTCAAATACCAAAGAAAATATCTTGATTTAGATTTGACGCATTATCGGTGAAAAATTGATATTTAAGAGTATTCTTCTTTCAAGATCTTAGATTCAAAATCTCATTGATACTTACAATTTGAATCTCGTTCGTTCTTGCAATTAAGTGCTAGAACAATTCAAATAGAGTTTAAGTATTTTTTATTACGATATGAGATACAAATCATATACATAGAAGATACTTGAATTTTGAAGTTGCATAAAAACTAAAAGAAAAAGATATTGGGGGTTTGATTGTTCAATGCATGAGCAACAATAGGAACCAACCAAGATGTACCTAAATGACAAAGCAAAGTCTAAAAAGGAGGAAGAAAAAGAAAAAGAAAAAGGGTAGTGGTCTTCACGTTTTCTCTGCTTTTGTAATTTACATTTTGTTTCTTTTTAGCCTCACTTTCTCTTAGCAAGATGATGATTGTAAACAAAAGTTCCACTTTCTTCCTATCTTATCTTTCTCTCTTTGTCATTTTGTCAACCCTACTATGCTTCTCATACAAAACTCTCAATTAAACAATCAACATAGTGAGTGAAAAATGAAAACAAGAGAAACAACACAGTTTTGGTTGCTTCAAGTTTGAATAAAATATATTAATGGTTGTTGATCCCATACAACATTGATTACTATGTTGTTTGATCAAATATTCTATTCAAGCGCACATAGGAAAAGTATATTGAAAAATATAAATATAAAATTTTGATGTCATTTGAGAAAGACTAGTAAAAAAAACCCTTCATATAATCACACTTTTATTAACCGTTAGATTTTGATTGCACGATTGTGTAAACGTAAATTTATTTTTATTTTATAATTTTAAAATTATCCCTTTTAAATCAGAATTGTCTAATCTTAACCGAACAGATATCAACGCTTGAATGCGTAACAGTTAAGAACGTTGACCACAGTCCGTATCACAACTACAAATATGAAATTTTCAATATTATGTGCAAGATTATGAAAAACGGATCGGGACTTGCGTTTTTGATCTATTCTCAGTTACATTTGACTGCAATTTAAGTCGCATTTGTTGTATTTGACCATAATTTTCTCTAACCTGATTACCTAAACTAGATGTGATAACAAAAATTCAAACAAGTAACAGTTTGCTTTATTTTTCTTCTTTAAATATCGCTGTCCTTGTTTCCTTTCTTATATCACACGCCACCAAATTTTCTTTTTCAATGCTTTGAAATTTATGTCAATTCTGAGAATTTTCATGTAAGTTTCCCTAGTACTATAGGGAAACAGTCACTGAGATGAGTACAAAAAACTCTTATTCATCAAATGATTGCATGATTTCAGAAGAATATATGTTTTGAACAATTTTTATGATCAACACTAACATAGATCCTATATTACAAAATACTAAATTTTTATGATAATACAGATAGGTTCCTTGTCTAGATTGTTACAAGTACAAGTTGGTAACATTATGCATTGATGTTCTTCTGCACTTAATAAGGATGCAAAGAAAGGAAAATCTTTGTTCTAAGATGTTGAAAAACTTATACAGAAACACATGATTTTACTTCAAAAAGAAGTCATAAAAAAAGCCTAAAAACCAAAACCTACGGTCATACAAGCGTCGGAGTTAGGTCTTATGCCTTGGAAATTCGGTTGAGAGAGAAGTTAAACCGGACGAAAAGATGTTATTTGTCTGATTCAATTCGAATAGTTCGAATTCTCTTGAAGGGTTTGAGATTAACTAAAGTTTGTTAACTACTAGAGAAATTGATTAGACTAAAGTGGTATAACAAAGAAGATGGACCCTCTCAACCTTCTTGTTTGTGCAGCTTTCTATGATGACAACAACATAGTACATGGTTATGTTATGTCCTTATGAAGACTGATTTTCCAGTACAAATGTGTCAGTGTCCCTTCCAAGCTTCCTTATTTTCTCAAAAAAACAATAATTTCTCTTTTCATCTCTTTGGTTTGTTTGGATTATGTTCATCATCTCACAAACACAAGTTGACATGTAGTTGGTGTGAAACATGAATCACACATACACAAAAACTTTGATTTCATCATATAATGAAGTAAAGAGACATCTCATCTCATGATTATGGTTACACCTAAGATGGGATTTTACAACAAAAATAATAATTGAAGAACTATTCATGAAATATAAAGGAGAAAAGAACAAGGTTCATTGGACAAAGAGACTTTTTTCTTCTTCTTTCATTTATGGAAAGGTAAAAGATAGCAAATATTTAGAATTTGAAGACAAAATTAACATGAGAATTAAAGAAGAGAAAAAGGGTCTTGACCATTTCATGGTAAGATTAAGAAATTCACTTTTACAAATTAAACCAAGCTATGTATTTTACCTTGTTTGAAATGATTCAAATTTGAAAACCCATGTTGTAAATTTCTCAATCTAAACCACCCACATAGCAAGTTTCAATCTTTTACACAAGAATTGAATATTTCTTCCTCAAGAACTTGATTGTGAGACTCTAGGTGAAGAGAGAGGGAAGAGAGGCAAAAGCTGTGGCTCTGAGTCTCTTGGTGTAGTAATAGGAGAGGGGTGCAAATAGAAACCCTTTTCAGCAATAGCTTTATCTTCTTCTGAGGATGAATTTCCCAATGAAGGTGAAGATTTATCAAAAGGGTCATCATTCAATGGAGTGACAGGGCTAAGAGCAAGAGAAGGAAAATCAAGCAAACTTGGAGAGAGAATCTCTTGTTGATATTGCTGTTGTTGTTTCCTAGGTAAAACATTTGGCATGAGGGTGTTGAGCATGAGGACACTGTTCTTGAGACTGTTCCTTCTTTCATATAACTTGAAACCTTGTTTCTTTGGTGCTGTTTTGATTGGAGGGATGTTGAAGTTCCTTGTTGGATGTTGAGGTAGATCTTGATTTGGTTTTGTTGTGGTTGAGGTTGTTGTTGTTGTGGTTGAGGTGGTTGTTGTTTCTGATGAACCTGTTAACATTTGAACAACTTGTTTGAAAGTTGTTGTATCAGCTTGAACAAAGGTGGTAGGGTAAGGATTTGAATCAGATCTAGGGATTGTTTTTGGAGTGAGGGGTGGTGTTTGAAGTTGGATTCCATTGTTGCTGTTGCTGCTACTCATACAGTTACTTACATTGCTTTTTGGTGAGTTCATTGGAGATGGATTCTCTCTGTCATGGTGAAATCTTGAGGAGATTTCCATTGATGAGAAGGGAGAAAGAGGGAGAGATTTTTCTCTCTTTGAAACAGAATTGTGTGGAGTTTGGACAAGAAATGTGAAAGAGGAAAGGGTTGCTTATTGTGTGACCTTGTTTTGTTTTCTTGTGCCTCTTCTCTTTCTATATACTACTATTTTCTTTTTTTTTTATACTAATATTCAAACTTTTCTTTTTCTAATCAAGGGTTGATATTCATCTTTAAGAATTTTCTTTACACCATTTTTTTTAATTAAAATTTGATATCCAAGAATAGTTCATATTAGACTTTAGAATAACCTAACTTAAGACTTGAATATTTAATCTGATTTTTCTTTTTATTTTAAATTTCGATAAGAGTTAGATACTTACGTTGACAGATTCGAATTTGTCATATTTCGTCATGTTAACTTTTAAAAAGTTAAATCATAACTCTTAAATTAATTCGAAAAAAAAAACTAATACAGACAAAACAATTCATTTTATCTATTTCTTTTTAAAAAAAAGACTATTTTTCATTGAATCATTCAAACAATCCATTTTATCTATTTTTAAATAAACAAAACAATTTTTTTATACATTATTTAACTTATTTTTTAATAAATATTCATATATAGGCCGACATATCAAAATTTATAGATATTTTTAATAGTTTAAATCAGATTTATTTAATTTTATATATATATATATATATATATATATATATATATATATATATATATATATATATATATATAAACTTAAATCTATTTTTTTATTAAAAATATTAAATCAGATAATGTATCTCATAATTTTTTAGAGTCATGTAAACGAATTCTTCAGAAATACTCTTTAAGGATTTTAAATAAAGAAAATATTCTAAAAAATGTTTAATTATTTTAATCTCTGAAGCATTAAATTCACATATTTTAGAAAAAAGTGCTGGGACATTTATTTATTTTGAATCCTTTATATGTAAAAAAAGAGTTTTCCCATATTTGAATTTGGTGTGACTTAGTAGTTTGGTTGGCTAGGTAGAAAAAAAAAGCGCAGTGAAAGGGTTTAGGGATTAGAAAAAGAGAAAGCAATAGAAATGAAAATTTAGAGTAATGAGAATGGTGATATTGTTGTTTAGTGTTAAAATATAAATGTGGCATTGACTTGAGAAGCAAAGCATAAAGAGTAATGTAAAGTTTGATGGGATTGGTGATGAATGAGAATACCAAGTATTCATTCGGTCTAACATTGTGGCTTTCTAACCGCGCGTCTACGTCACGTACTAATCATATTTTGAGGTTCTAACTATGACAACAAGAATATATTATCAAGATCACGCTTTCTTTTATCACTATTCAAACTATGATAACTGTTTTTTTTCCTTTTTTTTTATGTCAATTTAATACTAATCAACTTCTCTATTTTTTATTTTTATTTCTTTTACAGACTGTTTCTACTATGTAATTGGTGTTTTAAAAAAAAAGAAGTGGGTAATATTTGTGGTATGTTAAACGTAACATTCACTAGAGATGTTAATTTTGGAAGATCCAGTGGGTCAAAATCCATAGACACTAATACAAAATTGATAACACTTTTATAAAAAAACTATTTTATTTTAAAAAGTTATTTTAGTAATGACAACTTCGCTCATCCCCAATTTACAAATTTATTTATAATGGATAAGATAAAAATCTCCAAAAATGGATATAAACATGAGCTCGAGTAATTACTCACAAAAATAAGCAGGTATGAGTGCGAGTATAAACACCTTAGTACCCTCTCCGCTCCATACCTGCACAATATATATTTATGTATTTTCGTTTACATTTATATATTTTAATTTATATTATTATATAAAAATCTATGTCTATCAATTATAAAACGTATATAATGTTAAATCATTACGTATTTAATATAAGTGTTCGTTCATTTCAATAATAAATTGTTAAAAAAAAATTTATATTAAAATTATATAATATTTTATAACTGATCTATTTATTTTTAATAGGAATGCGGGTCACGAGTACAAGTATGGATATTTACATATCCATATGAAACGGATACGGTTAATACCTTTCGCACCCAATCGGATATGGGTTTGGGTACGAAATTTTTTTTAAATCGCAGGTATGGGGATGGGTACTATAGTACCCTACCCGAACTCTACCCATTGTTATCCCTAATTACTTTAGAGGTTACTAAAATAAAAGTCAAACTTCTTTTTACATCTAACGTATATAATTAACTGACAGTGTAATTTTTTTTATATTGTTGGTTATTTCAATTAAATTCTTTTAAAAAACAATTGTTTTATTTGAACATTTCACAATACTAGCACCTTATATGTTTATCGCTATGTATTTTTATAGTACTTTACACACATTTCAAAAACTTCAAAATACGACTGGAAAAAACATACAATTTGACAACAAAATTTTAATGTCCAATCATCGTTTTTTTAAAACTTCTATATATGAAAATAACTAATATTTCAAAACAATTACCAAAACTAGCTAGATTTTTTTTTAAAATTAGATGTAAAAGAAATAGTCATTCAAAGTGACGCATGCTTTAAAATGTTGTATATAAGCGCTATAGAGGGTGACGCCTGCATGTATGCCACGCCACTGCAGGTGGCGCATACATGCATCTCTTAGGAGCATGCACCACATGTAGTGGCTAAAACTTTATTTAGCTTTTTTTAATTTTAATTATTTTAATAAAAATTAAAATAAAAAAGAAAATTATAAATAATTTATAATATTAATTCATAAAATTCAATTACATAACGATTAAATAGAAAATCAATGACTCGTCCAATCGTAACGTCCCCCAATTCTACATCCCGGCGCATTCGTCTGCCTTCGAGGTCTTCTACGATTTCCCTGAGGTGTTTGGGGTCTTTGAGTGTTAGTCTGAGGAAAAAGTGGTTGGTGTGAGGGTCCTAGCATATTGAACATATTTTCAATCATTTCTCCCTAGTAGTCGGGGGGTGCCGCCCACGACGCTACCATAGTTGAATTCGGTGACCATGTCGTTGTGGTTGGGTTATGTGTGAACGGTATGGTTGGTTGAATTGAGACATTGAATTATTTTAGAAACGAAACAATGGTTCTTGTGGTGTAAGAAAGTCATGTGGTGGTTGGGTGCTTTGGAGGTGTGATGATTGGGTGTACATTGGTGGGGGTTATGATGGGATAGGGTGGAATCATATGAATTATCAGGGATATAAACAAACGTGGTGGCGGCATATGGTTATTGGTAGTATGACTCATGCTCTTGGTTTTGTGTTTGGGTGTGCGACATGTATTAGTTGCGAGGTTGTGTGTTTGGTGGTTGAGTGCATATGGTATGGTGACGTTGTGAGGTTGGTTATTGGGTTTGGTGGGTTGACATTGTTGTCGGGTTTGGTAATGATGTGAGGTAGGTTGTCGGGTTTGGTAATGATGTGAGGTAGGTTGTTGGGTTTGGTAATGGTGTGGGTTGGTTGTTAGGCGGGGGTTTATTGTTGGGTGTATGATGACGAAGCTCGTTAGCGTGAGTCGATCAAATACCTCAGCTTAAAAGATAGACTATATCGTTGTAATCGACCTAAACTAATTCATAAAATTTTGAGTGGTCTAGCACCTTGTATGATAAGTTCGTTTATGATATGTCGACGTGATTCCTCCATTGATGACACATCTCTTTAGAAAAAGTCTTTTCAATCGGAATAACCCCATTAAGCATCAAATCTTACTTGATGTCAGTCTCCCAAACATGTCAGAGGGTCTGAAATTTGTTGTTGCATGCCGAACTACAGTTTCGCACGGTCACTATGGTGCATCTCCACAGTAGTGAACTTGATGATTGGTATTTTTGCTGTCCAAACTGCAACATCCTCGGGGTTAACTATTAGACGATGACAATGATCTAGAAGGGGGTTTAATAGATCACTAATTTTTATCAAAAATCGGCACTTAAAAATTGTTTCAAAAACGTGCGGAAGCGGCCGTGGATTTTAATCGTCTAAACGAATCGTTATTGGTAAGATCAGATATGCATAGCCAAATGGAATAAATTTAATGAGAAAACGAGTCAATACGTTGCCAATTAATCAATACAAACAATGATCACTTTGTGTCAACCGGTTTCCAATGAACTGTAAAATGTCATAAATAACTTGACAATATCACAAACAATTTGTGTGCGATCAATGCGTCAAACACTTGGTGTGCAAAACACCCAAAGTTGAATTTCCAATGAAATGACAGTTCATAAATTTTCATTATTACAATCCAAGTGATTGTAATGAATTTTCAAAACATATTTTCAGCACTATACAACAGCGAAAATTTGTTGAACAATTGATATCAAACAAATGTAATCAACACAAAATAAAGAGATAGAGTAAGAGAGAACGACACCAAATTTGTTTAGGTAGTTCCCCTTTTCGTCCTCGCTTCGGGTACGCCTGCCCCCAGTTCTAAACCTAGAATTGAGATCTATATTATCAAGTTTCAAATTTTATACAAGAGAAGTAATAATCACCACCCACTCAAGCCTAATTGTTGAAGTTGATATTATTCCCTTCTCTCCCCTTGATTCAAGTCGAATCAAGTGCATCAAACACTTGTTACCGCTACTTGTTTGAACTAACCCACTGTTCTTCAAACCTTTCACTCGGCTGATTTCGATTGCAAGATGTTCGACCTCAAATCTTTCATCATAATCCTCCGGTTACAACTACTTGTTTGAACGAACCCACCGTTCTTCAAACCTTTCACTCGGCTGAATCTGTGAGGCAAAGATTTGTGCAAAAACCCCCCAAATCCTCAAGATCTTAGAGGGCAAAACCCCAATGGTTTTATTCAAGAAAAATCCACTGAATGACCAACCTAAACTAGATACACAATTCTACGTTTGGACGTTATCACCTCGACAATGCACAATATCAACAAAAATGATTATGTGTAATTATTGAGGAATGTAAGTGTGAGAATGAAGATAATGAGCAAAAATCAATGTATATATTTTACTTTTCTTGTTCTAT